AGGGTCTGCAAGTGCTCTGCTACTCTGAAATGGTAGCCCAAATGAATTTAAGGCCAGGTGGGAAAGTTATGTTACCTAGACTGTCTAGCCTTATGCATGTCTCAGGCCATGGGAGTTCATCCAGTTTATTCTGAACCCAATAACTTGTATTTAACTAAAACACACTTTCTGAGAACAATATCCAGCACTGGTTTTAGACTCCAAGAGGTGGAGAACCCACCCCTCCTTCCCTGGGTAGTGTGATTCAGTCACCACACCCCTCCCCTCCCCCACAGCTGCTGTACTGTGAAGCAGGAATCAAAGCAGGGTGCTTCTATCCTGGGCAGAAAATCATCTTCCCCAGTTTATACATGCCCCCCAATTTCAGGGAAATGTTTTTTTGAGAGAAAGGAGCATGTTGCATTTAAGAAAATATGGTATACTATGACCAGGTCAAATCCTCTCAACTGGGAAACCTAGGAAATTAAATGATATCATCTGGATGCCTTTTGAAGACCAATGTTTTCCCTACTTGTTAAACTGACTCAACAGATTTAGAACAATAGAATTCTACAGTGAGGAGGGCACACAAACTTGGGAAAGCCATATTCATAAATATGTTATATTATGTGAAGCTCCTGCCCCAGAGACTTTTGGCAGTAGTCCCAACTTCAGTCCTCTTCTCGCAGTTATTAGTAGCTAGTGAATAGCCACTTCCTTCATCTATTAAAACCCATGTAATTTGTTATCCAAGCCTGAGGGAGTCTGAATTTTGGAACTCCTTGCCCTGTAATGTGAGAACTGGTCAGAGGGTGTTGCTCCCTCCCTCAGTTAAAGAGACAATAGCTCTGGGGCTGGGTAGGGAAACTTTCACTGGAGTCCCTCGGGGGGGAGGGGGGAATAAGGGCTGCTTTTGTTGGCTTCAGTCCGAGCAGTCTCAGCGCTACTCACCAGCAGCCGTATGGAGCATCTCAGCTTCATATAGAAGAGTCAGCTGCATAACTGTCCTAAACCAGAGCCTTGCCACAAAGGAGAAATTCCTGGATGGAGTCTCTCTTTGCCTTTTTCTGGGCTCCTTTACTCCACCACATCATTCTGCATTTCCAGGTAGGCTGACTTGTCACCCCAGACACATTTGATATACCAGTAGTTCTTGAGCCCATTCATTATCCAACAAGGATGATAATATTTTACAGACCCTCTATTCAAAACATAACTGCCTTTTACCCCAAATACCCCAAACCTGAACTCTGCCCTCCTATGCTTATGCATCAGTGTACAGATTTCACTTACACTTACTTTCATCTCTAGATTCTGTCATGGCACACCAGGGTCTTATGCCTGACAACAATGCGATGCCATGTAATGTGACACAAGTGTACACATAGGATGCTAAGTCTGGATGTCCTTTAGCTTTAATTTAAAGTTTCTCACACTCATTTCTTTGTTGCTCACCAACCTTTCCATAGCACAGAAGTCTTGTTTGCCACTCTCTTGCTATCCAGGAGTAACCAAATCTGAGCTCATTTGATAAAGATGTTCTCTGTGCACTTCAGTATCCACATAATAAAGGACCTGGTTCCCAATCTGATCAAAGCAATTTGCAGAGTCTGCAGCCAGTGCCAGGGAGCCAGGAGCAATGTTCTGAGCTCCTGCCCCAGCCTCTCTCTATCTACAAAGAGTAAATACAGTAAAAAAGCCACTTCTGTTGTTTTCATACTTGAAACAACTACTGTTTCCTAGTAGCTTGCCTAACAGTGTGGACCTGTGGATCTTTCCTGTGGATCTAACCCCACTTGAATTGTCTTTTTGTCCTCACTTTGACCTGATGGATAAAGTCAGGGGTTTCTCCTACAGTAACAATGCAGGACTCTACCACAACATTTCCTGGGTGGTAACTGAACAATTGTGTAACACAAGCACCATCACTGGGATCACTGTTCATAACAAAAATCAACTTTTGGTGCATGTACTTCCTACTAACCTCCAAGGGTTTGCTTCTGTTTTTCTCTTCCTCCTCTCCCTTGCTGGGCTTCTTCTTTGAACCAGACAGCTGGTCTGCACTCTCTGGGGCACATGTAGAAGTATCACCATGAAATGCATCTTGCCCGTTCGTTCCCATTCCATGCATACTGGATTCCCAAAACCAAGCAGGTAGCTGCCTCAGAACATCCCTAAGCTTGCACCATTGCCTCAGGCATATTGGTATGTGCTCAGGGCAAAGCACACAGAAGTATCACAGGCAGGTCCAGAAGGGGAAGAAAGACACATATAATATATTTCATTCTCACTGCCCAAGCTCACCTGAAGGGACAGGTCCTGTTATTGAGGCCCAAAGATGCTTAGCTCTGCACAAGATATTCAGCCATTTCTCCTTGCCTGCCAGCTTTGTGGCTGAAGCCCAATTTTAACAGAGGCAATAACAGGTGGTTACCTGCTCTTGACTGGGACAGCCCTGGGCTGTGCAGGAAAATCTGCACATGCATCCCAGAGCTGGCTGGGGACCGCCCAAAATGGGAAAGTCTCTAGCCACCTCCAGGCTTCATGCGCAGACATCCCAGCGCAGCATGGAGCTAGTCAAGACCTGTCCTGGTCAAGGGCAGGTCCCAGCCAGCTCCAGGTTATACAGGGAACTCTCTCTATACAGATTTTTTCCAGCTCTGCAATCAAGGAACTAGGGCTTGGAGCAATCTCCCAGCTACCACTCTGCAATTCTGCCACCACAATGCTGCCCAGCAGGGGTGCATTGTCCCTGCCCAGACTCTACCAGCTTCTGGGGGTAGAGAGCAATTTCCTGGCCCCTGCTGCCCAACTGACTAGGAGCAAATTTGCTCTTTGGTCACTTCTTTGGTCATTTCTTAAAAATGGGTGTGTATTTAGCAGCCAACATCCACTTATATTCTCTTGTAACCCATGCCAGTTGCGACTCCCTTGCAAGGAAACTAGGAAAGTAGCCCTGAGATTTGATCAAGGCAAGTTCGTGATCTACTCCAATGGCTTTCACCCTAGAGCTACTTTTTCATTTTATCAGAAAAAATTCCATTAGCTCTAAGGCAATTATTCTCAACCAGGGTATTGTGGCACCCTGGGGTGCCTTGAGATCCTTTCAAGGGTGCCACAGGATGCCTCACAATGTTAGCATTGTTAGGTAAGCAAACATAATTAACAAGCTGAACACAGAGATTTCAAGTAGGAATCCATGGTGTTTAAAACATTTTGGCTTGTTGTGGTCTTTCTGAGTTCTTTGCAACAGAAGAATTGCTCTAGTATTTTTCTTATTCAAGAAATGAGTGAAAACTAAGAGGTGGTATTTTTTAATGGGTTTCTTGAGTCTAACAAGGAGGTTCCTTAAGCCTAAAAAGGTTGAAACCACTGCTGCAAGGCAATTACACTTTTCCTAGAGCCAACTTGAATATAGGCCTCTTCCCTTCGCAGAGAACAAAGCAGTACTTAACTGATGGTACAATATTGCAGAAATGAGGAAGAAAGCCAAAAGAAAAAGAGGTTCTCATAATTATCATTTTTCTGTACAACAATCCCAATTACACTATAAACCACATCATTTACATCCCTGCAATGCAGCCTTTAGGTCTGCATAAGTCTTGAGACATTTCATTTCAGTGTACATTCCAAATCAGGCCTATAAAGAACAAGATATTTGCTTTATGCTGATGCAATTAAGGGAACTTATTTCAATTCTGCAGCAAACAAGATGCATGTAAGTTAATAGCCTGAAGTGTTCAGCCTCCAAATGAAATAAGACTCTTATTGCTCTGCTTTAATAACCTGTGAGACAATTCCAAACATTTATATCAATTAAAACATGCAGACCTCATCTGATTTCCAGATGATAATTTTCTGATGGGAGGTCATTTATCATTAATTCTGTAAATGGGTAAATGCTCACATGCCTTGCTCTGCCTTTGTATATGTCAAAGTAATTTATTTGTAAGTGGCATTGTAGCAGGGCACTGGGATGTGCCTGTTCCCTTAAGGGAGCAAGAAGCCTGAGAGACTGCTTGCAGATAGCAGAGGGGAGGTAATGGGAGGCTCACCTGACTGGAAGAAGGCTCAGGATGGAGCTATATAAGCCCAGAGCCTGCACTGATCAGGTAGTCTCTCCCCAACCACCTTGCAGGGAGGACCTCCTGGCTGTAAGGCAGAAGTGTCTGTCAGGGGTGGGCTCAAGGCTTGAGTTATCATCAAGCCCAGTGAAGGGGGAAGTGCAAGGCTGCAGAGTAGATGGGGGCCAGGGGCCAGGGGCCCGGTGCCTGAGAGGGGTATGGCAAGATAGGGTCCATGGGCCCAGGACAAAAGGAGCGCAGCCATAGCTGCTCAAGGGCCTGACAGACAGAGGTCAGTAACCCAGAGACTAAAGGAGGACCCAGCACCAAAGCAGTACAACCATAGCAGGTCAGGAGCCTCGCAGACAGAGTCTGAGGGCCTGGAGACTGAAGGTAGTAGATGGACACTAGTGCCTCTAAGGTAGGTCCAATGCCGTGGTCCTAGGCTAAAAAGCAAGAGTAAAGGAGCAGAGCCTGAAGCCCCAACAGGAGAGAACAACATTACAATGTCATCCATGAGGTTTGGGGTGTGGTGTAGGAAAGGAAAAGGAGCCATGCAATTTACCCCTAAGGCTACAGGTGCCCTACAGGGGCCTAATCAAGCCAGGAGGGAACTATTTAGATTGAAGCTCACTCTGAGACCTGTTGGTAGCCTCCCTTATCACTCTTGAATAGTACGATCAAGGCATGGTGGACAAACAAACTAGAGGGAAAGGTCATACAGTTTGAGCCAGACAGGAGCTGCAGTTCCACGAAGAAGTGTCACGGCCGCCTCAGTGGGTTTGCGACCTGTTACAGTGGTGCACTGACCAGGAAACAGCCATGCACAGGGGAAGACCTGCATCCCTAAGACAGGATTCTTCATCCCGGTGGGGAAGGGACAAAAGGAAAAGTAAGGACTGGAGAAATCATGGCAGAGACACAAACTGTAGAGGGATTAAAGCAGGAAACACTCACCTGGCAGTTGCGTTCAGAGGACGTTGGGGACAGAGCTGCCTGTCTACAATGGGAGTTAGAAATAGAGAAGTCCAAACATAAGCAGGCTGAAGCAAAAGTGGCTGCTTTAGAACTACATCTGCAAATCAGAAAGAAGGAAGGAGGGTCAAAAGAAGTTAGACACCTGATTGCAGCCAAGGCTGAAAAGACTCAAGCCTTGAAGTGGCTCATCTTGAATGAGGCAGAAAAGAGTAAAAAGGGGAAAGAGAAGTTGCACTTGATGCAGAAGGAGATGGATGCCTTGACACCAAAGTTACTCGAAGCCCACACAGCCCAGACAACCAAGAAGTCAGACCTTACACAACAGGATGAAGAGTTAAAACGCCTTGTAATTACTATAGAGAAGCAACTGCAGAGTCGAGAAGACCAAGTAGAAGTGTTGCATGAGGAGGTAGAGGGCTGGCAACAGAAATACTCCCAATTGGAAGAGTCCGTATGAGAAGTACAGAGTCAGTCAAATACCAGATCCAAACAGCAGAGACAGAGAAAGTGATGCCAACAGAGATTGAGAAAGCCAATGAATGAATGAGAGAGTTGAAAATGCTTCAGGACAAGATGCTGTCCCTTGAAGCAAAGGTGAGGGGCAGAGTAGAGGATTGTGATGTCTTGCAGGCCCAGGTGCAAAAGGCAGAGGTTGAAAGGAAGCAACTGGAGGAAAACATACAATCTATGAGGATCCTTTTGGAAGCAGATGAGGTGAGAGAGGCAGCTATATGTGTGGAAAAAAAACAACTACAGTCACGTGTACAAGCCAAAATAGAGCAGGACCTGTCACTAGAGCAGGTGATCAAACAACTACAGGAGATAATGGACCGATTGACCACAAAAATTGGGGACACCCAGGAGAGTGAGGCACAATGTGTACACTATCGAACCGCACTCACCGAGATGGAGGGGAAGCTGCAAACACTGCAGGAGACCTTAGGAGAAAGTGAACAGAGGTGGGAAGCCAGACTGGCAGTGGCTGAAGAAGAACTTCAAGGGTTTTGCAGCCAGAAGCAGTCTTTGAAAGAAGTGATAGAGCCTTGAGAGGGGAGCTGCAGGCTACAGACCAGTTGAGACAAAAGGTGCTTTCACTGGAAATACAATTACAGGAAACCCTTGCTATTCACGGGTTTGGCATTCACAGTTTCAAATATTCGTGAATGCTGAACCCACGTTTTATATACAGTTTATACACTTACAGGAGCTCCTCGGGAGCTCTGCACTTGCTGCTGCCAGGCTCCTGCCACTGCTGCACTCCTGCCATCACCGTCGGAGCCGGGCCTCCCCCACTGTGGGGGCACTGTGTTCATGAATGCAGACTGTGTTCATGAATGCAGTGCCTTATTCACAGATTTCACCATTTGCTGGGGATTCAAGAACATATCCCTCGCATATGGCGAGGGTCGCCTGTAACAGAATGTGAACAAGCAGCTAGAGCCGGATGCCAGGATCACCTTCAGGAGATAGAGGTTTTGAAGGGGTCCTTGGCCAAGGCTGAGAAACAGATAGAGGCTGTAAGGCTGGAATCCTTGAAGTCCCAGGAGAGTAGAGAACCTGTATGCTTGAGCCCAGGGAACCCAGGAGATGAGCCAGGACCAACCCAGCAGGGGAAGAACACTGTGGCAAATAGATCCTTGGGTCTAGGATTCACACCCATATGGAAAGAAGTCCTGCCAATGATGTTGGAGTGCCTGGACCAGAAATAGGACAAGTTGGCAAGCTGGGAGAGCTCACCAACAGGCACGAGGCTGAGATATTGACAGTGACAGGCCATATCCAGCAATTAGAGGTGGAGTTGCTAAGGATCTCAGCTAAGCAGAGGAGAGGATGGACTAGGACGCGAAGTGGAAGTAGTGATCAGTTTTACCAAGACTGCACCCATAGGAAGAAATACCCAACACCAAGAGGCCAGAGAACAACAGCAGGTCAACCCCAGGTACAACCTGGATTAAATAGGTGCTTAAAAGGGACAGTAACACCCAAAGTCAGAAGAAAAATAAGCCTATGGTGGAGACCCAAAGGTGGGAATTGCAGGACAGATGTCAGGTGAAACTTCAGAAAAGGTAAAGCCATACCAGAAAAACAACCATAGGGAAGAGCCGCTAAGTACCATAGGGAAGGGCAGCATAAAGTGGAAAGGACCCCGAGGGGGAGTTGCAAAAGGGGGATCAATGAAGGAAACTGGGGTAACCCCACATAAGAAGATGTGAGGCCCTTCATCGCTAGAGATAACCAGGCAGGGGGCAAAAGCGTGGAGGGAGGCCTTGGATATATGTCAGCAGGTATCCAGGTTTTCCATTTACCACAGGAAAACAGAATAAAATGCAGATTTCCCCTTTTACTAGAGGAAAACACAGGTTTCTCATTTTAGCAGAGAAACCCATACATTTTGCAATTTTACAATGAGCCTTGCAGGCAGAGTTCCAGCCTGCAAGCAGCTAGGTGGAAGTGGGAGGAGAGCAGTCAGGCAGGGGGTGCCATGTGCATGTATATTGCATGGCTGCCAGGCAACCTGGAGAGCAGCTCCCACAGGTAAGTGGCAGGGGGGATTGAGGCCCCCATAGGGAGGGGGAGAGGGAGTTGGGCAGGGCTGAAACTGTGGCTGCTACCGAGTCGGGCAGTGTGTGGGGCCACAATGGGCAGCCACAGGGCCCTGGCAGGGAGTGGGACAGGGCCATGGGAGGCTTATTTGGGGGGGCAGGGGGAGGGACTGCCTCTCAGTCACTGCGCACACTCCCAGGTGGGCAGGGGGTACTCATGCCCCCCAGATCTGTTTGCGGGGTGGATGCACGCTGCCCAGTGCAGGCTCTGGCTCCCACCCTGCTGCCCTCCACCGGGGTGTTCACAGCCTAGAGGGTACAACCCAGTGCTGCAGGGAACAGTGAAGCCATGCAGGAAAGCTGTTTGCTGCTGCAAGCCCCACACTGCCCTGGCAAGATGTCCCCTGGGCACATGGCAGCAGTGGGGGCAGAAGCATGGGGTTATGAGCCTTACTGGTGCTACACATTCAGGGGACACATTGCCAGGGCAGTGCAGAGTTCGCAGCAGGAAGGAGCTGTTCTGCAAGGACCTGCAGCGCCAGGTCACACCTGTGCGGCTGCAGAGGCCCTAGGGGAGGGCAGCCATGTGGGGAGCTCGAGCCCACAGTGACCAGCCTGGCCCCACCCCCACCTTGTGCACAGATCTGGAGGGCATGGGTCCCCCATGCCCCACCCCCCAGGAATGCGCGCAGCAGTGGGGAGCTGGTCCCCCCCTACCTGAGCCTGCAGCAGGCAGCAGGGGAGAGTGAGGGGAGCCAGGCTCCACGCTGCTGCATCAGCCACCACTGCCTGTTGGGAACAGGAGGCTCTGAACCTGGGTACCTGGCTTCATAGACCTAGCAGCTGGGAACCTCCTCTGGCAGGGCTGGGGGCGCAGGGATTGTGGGTGTGGGGTGAGGGGCACCAGCAGTGCTGGGGGAGCTTGGAAAGGAATGAGAAGCATGAGCACAGCCAAGGGCTGTGGGGGGGACTGAGGGGCACCAGCAGGGCTGTGGGGGGGAGTGAAGGCCACAAACAGGGCCAAGGAAGCTGTGGGGGGGGGGGGGGAAACCAGTATCCCTGTATGTCAGCAACCTTGCAGGTACAGTCAAGTGGTGAACTGTAAAAAGGCTATTTAAAGATAAAGTGGGGGGTGTTGCGTATGTGAGATTGTATACTAGGGCTGGAGGAATGCCTATGGCCTAAGGAAAAATCAAGTTCTGGGGCAAAAACTATGTCCAGCAAGCCCAAAAGTTCAGTGGGATCGTGGGGAAAGACTTTTGGACATACAGGGAAGCATAGGGAGGCAAAAAGTCACGGGAATTTTCCATAGAGGGAGAGAGCAAGGGTGTACAAGTACCTGGTACAATCAGACCATGGGGAGAAAGAAAACTAGACCCCCAGAGCTAGAAAATAGTCAGTGTCCTAGGGTGGAAGAGAACATTTCAGCTATCAGGCTTGTGGTCTCAGCTGAAGAAAAGAGAGAGCCGGCAGAGGTCTGCTTTGAGGTGGGAAGCCCCAAGAATTGTGCCAGGGAGCTGGTATGGACCATGGGGACAACCCCTTGGAGGAGGGTCAGTGGTCTGAAGCTGATACAGAGGACCCAAAGGGGGCTTGTGGGGCACAAAAACTAGGATGCTCCAGACTGACTACCTTGGAAAATGACATCAGTGACACCTAAGGAGTCAAGAGGGGAGACCTTGATTGGTCCTGGGTATAACTGAAAACTACACCCTACTGGGGTTTGGTGTCACAGTGGTGGGACTGCTCATAGCAAGGCAGTCCCTAGAAAGTGCCACTAGTGCCAAACCTCAGGGAAGGGCAAGTGTGGGGTGCACTAAAACCCCAGTCCCTACTGCCTGCCAGGTTATCCCTGTGATGGGGAAGAGGCTAGGGAATCATTACCCTGAAGGAGAAGTTTCTACGGACAATGGAACAGAGAACCCTGACACCTTGGTGACCTGTGAATTAAGGGAGGGAGGGGTGTAGTAGGGCACTGGGATGTGCCTACTTCTTTAAGCGAGCAAGTAGCCTGAAAGATTGCTTGTGGGTGGCAGAGGGGAGCTAGTGGGAGGCTCATCTGACTGGAAGAAGGCTCAGGCTGGACCTATATAAGCCCATAACCTGCACCAGTCAGGTAGTCTCTCCGCACCCACCATGCAGGGAGGAGCTCGTGGCTGCTAGACAGCAGTGTCCCTGAAGGAATCTGGTTTATATTGAATGTCTTTGCAGACCAGGGAATTAAGGCAAGTGCCCTGGGTTGAGAAAGAGTAGGCTTTTACAGGCAAGTGGCATTGATTTTGTTAATCCCAGAGGATTGGGGTGCCCACTAGAGGAGCTGAGAGCCCAAGAGGGTTGTGTATATAGTCTAGGGAATAGCCCCAAGTGGGAAGATATGCCCATGAGGAGATAAAGAAAGTTTGTCCTCTTTAAGGGGAAGAGAGGGCTGTTTCAGCTGTTGTGGAGTTTCTGTTGTAGCTCCAGGGCTTATAGTTTTATTACCTTTTATACTGATGGTTTGGGCTGGGATTGT